TGGGAGTGGAGGCTTGTCAACAGAAGGACTTAAGTGAAGGGGAAAGAGTGGCTGGTGCCTATTTTCCTTTGAGAAGGACACAATCCTCAGACAGGACTATTCCACCATCCTCTGCAGCATAATTTTCTTTAAGCTGAGTGAGGAAAGCATAACACCACTGTCACCATTAATTATGTACAATTTCATTTAATTCACCTCTTGTCAGTAAGGCACTCTGACCTCTCATTTGCAAATTATTCCTCAGTTTAGAGCTCTGTTTCAACCCTTCCAGAGAATAAACCCTAATCTTCCTTCTTAGTGGGGAGAAGCTAGTTACTGGACAGCTACATGAGGTGGAGGAGGGGATGCAGGGTTGAACGCTTCTCCACAGACTTTTATTAATCCTCCTAATTTTAGTCCCTCTCTCCTCCCATGGTCAATGCTGGGAGACATAGCTGATCTACCTAGTACACAGCAACACAGAGTCAGGCCAAGTGAGGAGACAAAGGAATATGTTTCAAATGAAAACAATACCATGTACAATTGCATCAGTAAGAATAAAATGCCTAGAAATAAATTAAGCCAAGGAGTGAAAGATCGGTACTCTGAAAACTGTAAGACACAATGACAGAAATTGGAGATGTCATAAATAAATGGAAAGATACACTGTGTTCATGGATTGGAAGAATTAATATTGTTACAATGTCCATACTACCCAAAGCAATCTACAGATTCAATGCCATCCCTATCAAAATAGCACTGGAATTTTCACAGAACTAGAACAAATAGTCCTAAAATGTGTATGGAACCAGAAAAGATCCCAGATAGCCAAAGCAATCTTGAGAAAGAAGAACAAAGCTGAAGGTATCATACTCCCAGATTTCAAACTATACTATAAAGTTATAGTAAGTAATCAAAAGAGAACAATATCTCTACAAAAACAGACCCATAGATCAATGGAACAGAATAGAGAGCCTAGAAATATACCCATATTTATATGGTCAATTAACCTACAGGAAAAGATACAAGAACGTACAATGGGGAAATGACAGTCTCTTCAATAAATTGTGTTGAGAAAACTGGACAGCTACATGCAAAAGAATGGAACTGAACCACTTTCTTATACCATATACAAAACTGAACTTAAAATAGATTAAAGAACTAAATGTAAGACCTGAAACCCTAAAACTCCTAAAAGAAAACATAGGCAGTAAACTCTTGGACATCAGTATTAGCAATAGTTTTTGGATCTCAGATAAGGGCGATAAGAGCACAAATAAACAAATGGAATGCATCACTAAAAAGCGTTTGAACATTGAAAGAACCTATCAGCAAAATGAAAAGGCAACCTACTGAATGGGAGAAGATAACTGATAATTTCTTGACTTGGAATTCCAGTTGATTCCATTCTAAATAAACTTCTCATTACCAGCTTGAGGGGCCTTGATCTTAAATACGGAAAAAAGATCAATGTCGCCCATATACTTGTGCATACATGCATGTATGGACACATATTCATTTATCAAGCAACTTAGTGCTCAGAGAATCCACCTCATTACACATTAGTCAGAAGAGTCAATTATGTAAATACTCTGGGATCTTTTTATTTGCTCTGCATTTTGAATTTCTTTGACCAATCAGATTTCCAAAATGGGAAGATTATTGTCAAACTACGTTTTAAAGAAATTGGGCAGTTCAGAAATAAGTAGAACATACTAACCAAGTAAAAGTAATAAATACTATCATCAAATTGCTGTAACATACAGTTTTAAAATGTTATCCACCATATATAGGGGTCATCAGTGATTAAAAGCTTGTGATGTTTGATACTGAAGTACTATTTTTTTCCCAATTCAAACAATATTGTTTGAAAATCATCATATTTATGGAGTCACTGCTTGAGTAAACCTACAGGGTGATGATAGACCAGGTTAGCAATGCACCATTTGGTTTCTGGACTGAAACTCATTCACTGGGGACCTTTGGTAAGTGGCCCGACTTGCAAACAATCTGAGCTGTGCACCTCTGAAAAACTGGAACCGAATGAGAACATAAAAATTATTTCAATAACGTTTGAGGTTATTTTGTAACCTTGAGCAGGGTAAGTTCTCTAAGGCTTGTTACCTTTAAATGTTGAAAACAATACATAGACCATAACAATACATAGATCATTGGGGTGTAAAAGTATTAAATGAGATCTTATATTTCAATGGCCCAGCACTATATGTGATGTATATTAAGTTCTCAGTAAATGGTAGCTGCTATAATAATAAATATTATCTCAGTAAAAATGAGAAAACAACTCGAGATTTATGCTTTAGATCAATAAAATACAAATTAGAATGATCTTTTTTATTAGTTAGGAAAATATTTTTAAAAATAATATATACTGTTGACTATGGAATAATGATTATATTTATACACTATAGGTGAGTGAAAATGTAAATTAATACAATTTTTCTAATGTGTAATTTGGCAATGTGTATAAACGATTTTAAAAATAACGTTCTCCTAACCAAGCCATACCATTTCTAGGAATTTGCTCTAACTCACTTTTAAATATCCAAAGATGTAAATGGACATACATACTTACTACAGTGTTGATTATATATCTAAAAAAACAGATTTTTAAAAAGAGCTATCAGTTTAGTCATGTTATGGTACAATCATACAATGACTTTCATGGACACCTAAGAAGTTATGATTTTAAGACCCACACATAGCCAATGTAAAAAGTAAATAATGCCAACAGAGTGGTTATCTGTCTTTTTTTCCCAGGAAAGGAGGTAGCTTCTATCCTAATTTAAAGTTTAAATGAACAGATATATACTCACATATACAACACACACACACACACACACACACACACACACACACAAGCTCATTGTTCCTATTAGAATCTGTCTCAGTATTATGTTTGTTTTTTAACTAACCCTTCTTTCTGAAATTTCATTCTATTGAATATCCCACTCAAGTGTGTATGGTAAAAGGGATAGCCAGTTCATGTCCACATTTGTTTTCAGCGCCAGTGCTTCATTAAGAATTCTAGAATTGTAAAATCATATAAATGTATCATAGTGACTTGAAGGTCTTGTGGGAGCTTGCCTTCAGGGGGATGAAATGTAAGTATCCTAATTTAAGAAAAACAATTGAGCTCTATAGATAGGAAACAGTTTACTCAAGGCCACATAACTAGTAAATGATTCTCAGAACTTATTATTAAATCAAACTAAAAATGTTGCACACCGGAGATCCTATATTGCTATGGCTCCCACTGTATCCTGAAAATCATGCACTGGGCTTTTACAGGAGAGTTATAACAAACAGCCAGATGTGCTTTCCTCTTTGTTTCTATCTCTAGTTGCTAAGGAAGCTTTTATACAACATGTTGTGTAATGCTTAATCAAAGATGCTTCTCAGATATCAGTGCCAAGAAGAAGTGATACCTGTCCTGATAGTTTGATTCCTCTTAGGAAACCAAAGCTATAAAAGCCATCCTCTTTTCCCTTTGACTTTAATGGTAGGAAGTTGTTCTGAGCACTTCAGCCTTTCATGGCTCTCTCCATGTGCCTCCCTCTCCACAACACCCCTACGCGTGCCTAGTAGAAGAGGTGGCAAGGGCTGGCAATGATGCAGTCAGGAGCAGCACGGGGTGAGCTAATTCTTCCGGACAACTTAGTAATTGGCAACATAAAGCACACTGCCTTGGATGAGTTTTTCCTTGCAATGTGTAATCTTTGCAAAAAATCTGTGTGATAAATTTTATTGTTCTTATTTCCATTATTTCAGTATGGACTCTGAGACTCAGAGAAGCTTAAGGAGTTGATCAGAATAAAGTAATCAGTAAGTGGTGGAGCCACTTTTGGCTCCAAAATCTATTGCACTATACTCATCAGACATGAAGTATACTGCGGTGTGAGTTCAATCTTTAAAGAGTTTTTAAGGAAGAAACTAATACAAATCACTTTCTTTCCAGTCTAATTTTTCTGAATCGTTCTTACATATTTGTATCTGAGACATTCTTCCAGAATTATGTTACAAAATAAATAATTTACTGTTTTCCACTTTCAAGGCGCTAACATAATTTTCTATGAAGGGCAAATAATTCAATCCCCCCCTCCTATCTCTAAGGACGGTAATTCCTCCTTTATCAACATGACAGAGAAAACAGAGTTTACAATCTGAGAAAATTCATTTGGTGGTGGTGGTAGGAGTGGAAAATAGATGTTTCCACCACTTTACTTGGCATCCCTAGGAAATAAATTAAGTCTAACAAAAGCCAGGTCATCCTGGCTGACCCTCAGTGTTGCCAGCTGCCGACAGCTGTCTTGATTCCACCAGAAACCACATGCAACGCCTCTTGTATGTCATCGGTCCTGAGAACACATTAGACCCAGCAGCTGATTGAACTTTCAGTAAGTATCTTCCCACAGTAAGGCTTGTGTTGGCTATGGGGTGGCTTTTTGGTCAAATATTTTGTCTTTGAAACATTCAGATAATTAAGATCTGGTGATGAAACAATATTGTTCTGCAGCATTTAAATCACATATAAACTGATACAGTTGAACCTTGAACAACTGTGGGGTTAGAGGCGCTGACCCACACACGGTTGGAAATCAATGTGGAGTGATTTCTGACCCCACAAAAACGTAACTCCTTATAGTATAGAGTTGATCAGAAGCTTCACTGACAACATAGTCAATGAACACATATTTAGTATGTGATACGTATTAGATACTGTATTCTTACAAAAAAGCAAGCTAAAGAAAAGGAAATGTTATTAAGAATATCACAGGAAGATAAAATAGATTGACAGTACTGTACAGTATTTATTGAAAAAATCTGCATATAAATGAACCTACACAGTTCAAACCCAATTTGTTCAAGGGTAAACTATACATTCTTTTTTATTTTCACCAGCCATTACCAGACACCTCAGCTATTCTTCTTAGAAAAGCATATCATTTAATAATCTTCAGGTATGTTTTATCTAGTATTGTACTCTTTATCCAGTATCTTACCTCTGCTCTCAGCTCACAGATAACTCTGTCCGTGCTGTTTTGAGATTCTGATTTTTCCCTTGTGTCTCCTGATAATTCTTCCACTTCATTTTCATGTTGACCATGAAGAATGTTACACTGAAAAAAAAGTTAAAATTATAATCACATGATGCTACAAGAAGCTGGTTCCAGGATAACCCACAATAGTCTCTCATTTTGCTTTTAGTCTCTCTCTTTTTCTTTTTTTTTCCATGTGGAGTCTGGCAGGTTTTGTAGTCTCTGTTGTAATAATCATAGTTGGACCATTTATTTTTACTTGTTTTCCTTGTATTTGGGAAACACTAATTCAATCCTAATTGAAAATCAGTCACAATTTTCAATTGTTAAAAATTGAAAGGAAGCTTGATTTAAAAGGAAATTTCACGTTGTGTTTAGTCCCTTCCTTTAGAACAATGTACTAGAGAAGTTGGGGGGTAAAGTTGAATGTGGGGCTCAGTCCCTGTAGCTGTTCTCTTGATGCATTTACGCCTTTGGACAGATCACGTGCTCCCGTGGCACCGCATACTCATAAGAATTGTGACAATCTCCACATGCTGACTTCCATCTGGTGGGACCCACGTGTCCAGCTTCCCCCTTGTCACGTGTATAGGTATCCCAAACTTCACACTTCGGTGAGACAAATGAAGAACGTGTCCCCAGTGCTATTTCTCTACCAGCCTTTGCCATCTCAGTAAATATGAACTCCATCCTTCCCTTTGCCATCTCAGTAAACATAAATTCCATCCAATATTCCCAGAAATACAGGATCTATTCTTAACTCCTTTCTCTCTCTGACATGCAGCATCCAAACTAAAAGCAAATCAATCCAATTTAGCCTTCCAAACGTATAATAAACCCAATCACTATTCTTTCTGCCTAGACCACCGCTGCCCTGGTCAAGGACCACTGTGGTCTCTCACTCTGGTTATTTTAATACCTGCCACACTTGCTGCTTCTCCACATGGCCCTGTACTTATTTTCTCAAAACAACCATCAAATAAAGCTTTTTTTTAAAAAAAAAATTCAGATCATGTAACCCCACTTTCCAGTCTTTCCAGTGGTTTCCCAATCCAATCCGAGGCCGTGTCACAGTCCTTACTACCTGCTTGGTCCCACCGCCCCTGTGTCCTCAGCTCTCCTACACTTTATTCCTCACCACCCACTCTGGCCTTCTCACTGTTCCTGCACACACCAGGCAGGCAAGAGCAAAAAGGAAGATCCTAACAATAAATGAAATATTGTGCAGCCAAAGCAATTAAGACGATATAATAGAAAAAAACTGATAAACAGATTAATAAAACAACTATAATCCTTCCTGTAAAAATACGAGTTATTTTGGTCATTTAAAAATTATACTTTGGACTCAAAATCACCTTACTTTTGTCACCTGCCCCTTCAGCTTTGGGTTTAGATTAATGAAGTTGTAACTAAAATCTATTTAGTGGCTGAGATGTTGAAAGCCGTGGACATGTGGATGCTAAAGATGATTAATTTAGCAGAATTATGAAAGTCATCCATAAATGATTTATCACATTAGTTCAATTGAAAGTGACAGAAATAGGAGGTTACTGATAAAGTGAATGAGTCAGCATTAGACTGCATTTCCCAAGTTCATGTCCTTTAATTAAATTTTTTCAACTGTATACTCTCTTGTATGACTTTTTTTTCTGAAATTGCACCATAATATAATTTCAAAATTCCTCTTTAAAATTCCTCTCTTCCTACCGCATTATTTGTGAAAGGTTAAACCAGGAAACTTGTCATATCTCTGACTTCATAAATATCTGTCATAATTTGATTCCAGAAAGTCAGCAACATTATATGTAGCTATTTATTGTACAACATTCAGATTAGCACAGAGTGGAAAGTCTTTCTGAAGATGATGCCTAGAAAACAAAAATACTGTGTAACTTATACAAATATCTTCTGACTTACTCAGAGAGTGAAGAAAAATTAAAAATTCATTTCAAAAAGGGTCCCAAAATATAATCTAACACCCCTATTATTTCACTTTTGCCTCACATTTCATCCTTTGAAATAATTTAAAATCATTTGTTTATGCTGATTCCAAAGATCCTGTCTTTGTGAAAGATTGCATTTAATATTTCTCAATATTATTAACAACACAGCATAATTCAATCTCCCCTGAACACCAAACCCACCATCTGCCATAACTCAATGAATGTTTTTGTGGCTTCCTTCTTGGAGAAAGAAGCTCTGCATACATATGAAAGATCATCAACTCCTTGTAACAATGTCTGTAAATCTCCAAGCATTCTCACAAATCCTTCTTTCTTCCTCTTGTTAAAGAACTGAAATAGCCATCCCAGCATCTGAGGATAATTATTACATTTGTTGTCAGGATTTGGTACCTTTGGGGTACTTGGTGAACTTATTTCTAATTGTTCCTGTCATCAAGATCCCTTGGTCTCTCCCCCATAAACATGTAATTGCTGGAAACTTTCCATTTGGCTGGGGGAGGGAGGGAGCAGAAATCAAATATAGGAGATCCTTTTTTTTTATTTTTCTCCAAATCCTGGAGTTTCCATTCCAGTTCTTTGTCTGCTCTTACTGTCAGATGTCTTGAAAGCGTTGCCCTACTATCAGGTGCCTTTTCCACATGCTCCCCCTCGCTCAGGTCCTGTGCCCTCTGCTAGACCCACTCCCAGTGCCTTCCAAGACACAGTATTCAGCCTTGCCCTTGAATCCCTGGAAGAATGTGCTCTGTTAACAATGCCCTTGTGCAAACACCTTCTTCCTCTGACTTCGGAGAGAAAGGTTTCCCTGCCCCCCACTTCCCAAACATTCCCACTTGCGTGTGGTTTCCCCTTCTCTGCCTATCCTACCTGGTACTCAGCCTCCAAGCTTTCTTTCATTTCATTCAATAGGCCAACTTGGGTCACTCCATTTCCTCCCATGGTTTCAGCCACCATCTCAGTGCTAACTGTTCACATTTCTTTCATGCACTCATGAACCCAAAATCCTACCAAACATGCCTACCTTAAACTCAACATACCAAGCACTGAAGGCCTCTTCCCTCTTCAAACTTCTCTTGCTCATGATATTCCCTCCTGGTGAACAGCCACCCGACAGGTAAGGTCAGAAACCTGACTTACCCTTCTCTCTAACACCCTAGAATCCCCAGACACTTACACATTCAGTTCATCACCAGGCATCAAGACTTCTTTCACTTGCATATTTCTCGGTGCTCCAGGTCTCTCCACATACTCCACTAAACTTAGGACCCCTGATTATTTATTGCTGGGTTACCATTATTTTGGATCCTAACAGTTTCCACATTACCTGGACCCCCAAATCTCCTCTTGATACTTGAAGCCTGAGTCTTTTTTATAATCAAATTGACCCTGGTTGATACATTTCAGTGGCCCTCTCATGGCCTTCATGATGATGAATACATTCATAATTTGGCTCTTGGGATAAATACTGAATATCAATTGGTGCAGAGTATAACACCAAGTGTGTAACTATTAGGCAGGTTCTAGTAGCCATACCATATTCTTATGAAAGGTGATGAATGTAAGAAGGAAATGTCCCCAAATAGAAGGCCAGCCCAAATAGAGTGGACTCAGGGATGGCTAACAACAAGGTCAAGGTTCCAAATAATTCGAACTGACTCCAAGTGCATGGAGAAGCACCCAAAATCTCATGCTGTATATCACAGCTCCAAACAGTTTAGCCAAACATTCAAACTTTACTTAATTCTGTCCCTCAAACTTAGAAAGTGGTAGTAAAGGCACTAAAGAGTGTTTAACTATGATGTAAACATTTAAAATAGAAAATGAAAATTTTATTGTATCCTTCAAGTCGAAATAAAAACACTAAATAACTGATCTTTGTGGTCATTAAACCCTTTTGTGCCCATGCTGATGTACCCTTTATATTTTAAGTTTGTCTTGAAATAGTATATTTATTTAGATACAAAAAATGAAATGTGTTGTGAATTTAAATATTGACACTTTAAATAAAACAACTGTATCACACTTTACTACATGCAATATCTAAGAACTATAGAAGTGTGATATTCATTATCATCTGTTAAAACATTTATATTGCCAATTTCATTAAAAAATTTTTTTATTTCTATTCCACCTCCTCCAAATAATCACAGTAACGTGTTTATACTTGAAGCTGTTTTTACTCTATAATATGTAATAAAAATATTTATAAAATATGTATTACATATATTATGATTGTAGGACACCAAATGTTAAAGGTTTCTTTTGGATTGAATTATCTTAACAATTATTACAGGTACATAGTTGCTTAAAAACAAGACAAGATAGCACATACTGTGATAAGTTATTATTAGATACAAATTAATCATTTATTGGAAATATATCAATATATCTCCTAATGAGATGGATAGATACATTTTTTCAATTAGTTTGTGTATCCATGGATGAAATTACTTATTGATAGAATAAAATAAGAATTATCATCAGCCTTATGTATTTTTTAAAAATATAAGTACAGTAAGTTGATTACACTTTGATAGAAATGGAAGATGTTTTGTCAGTAGAGTCATTACTTTCGATAGTAGAGTCATTGTGTTGTTTTTTAATATCCTTCTAAACATATGTCAAAGCCACATTTTGATCTTACATAAAAATTAGTTTTTATTATCTGTAAACTAGCTAATCCATGAGGTCCAATTCCAGTATTTTTATGAGAAGGAAGAGTTTTGGCCCAAAAGGCCAAAGGTTTTGTGACCCATTCATTAGTTGGTTACTCAATACCATTGTTTCAAAATAACTCTTTGTTAGGTACTTTAGGTCTAAAAAAAAGAGGTTGATCCTGGTGTATCTTGTTGTACCATAAAGTAAGGAAAGTATAAAAGATCACTGGGATTGTGTTGTATGTTCCCTTTAGCCAAGATGAAGTTTCTGCTCTCTAGATACGTTGTTATCTTTTAAATATCATAAAGGAGATAACTACAGCAGATTAAAGCACATCTCTAAGTTTAAACTTATGAATTCCTAATACAGAAGAAAGCTCTAACTTGATTAACACTGGAGATTGCTAGTGGTTCAAATCATTATTCTGCAAATTGGTAAAGAAAGGGAAAATAACCTATCGTG